TCAACTAAGTCCATATTACTTCCCCAAAGCACACACATGCACATAAACACCCAAATCCATGCATTATGTGTGCCTTTGCTGTGGCTTAGGAGGCTTCATGACAACCTAGAGCAGAGAGCTAAATTAATTATGGTGCATCCATACAATGGAATACTATATTAAAAAGAATGAGGTTGAGCTCTAGAACTTACTGATTATATACCTCCAAGATATATTACATGGAAAAAGCAAAGCATAGAACAGTGTGTATAACAAACTACCATTTGTGTTTTTAAAGGGTTGCATGTTTTTATACATATCTGGAAGGATACTGCTCTGAGGGGAACTGGAAGACCAAAGGTCAGAGCAGGGAAAGAGAAAATGAGTATTGTGTCTACCCTGCAGTACAATTTGAGTATTTTACCAAATGTATGTATTCCTTTTTAAATGCTTAAAAAGATTTACACAAAAGGCATCTCTCTTAATATGTACCTTTTTAAAATTAGAAACTTGCTATATTTTACATAGAAGAGAAACTAATGATTTCTATGCTCAACTACTTCAGTGATTTCAAAGACACAAGCTTTAGTGAGTTTATACTACTTTGTGTTGATAACACTTATTTTTACTAACAGTAGCATTCATTACATGTTCAAAATTTGAATGGCATTTAGCTTTCTAACATTAAAATGGCACAGCTCTTAAATCTGTATTACTTTTATGTTAGTTTTTGTTTTTAATTGACACATTGTACATATTTATGGGTTACAGTGTGATGTTTCAATTCGTGTATACATTGTACAATGATCAAATCAGGGTATTCAGCATATCTACCACCTCATATACTTATCATTTCTGTATTACTTTTTATTTTATGTATTACAAGTCTTCCTGAACCAAAGGATAAATCACTCTGTAGCTGTCTCTCCAAAAATAGCTGAATCAAAGCAAAAAAAAAAGATTGCTAGTCGTTTAGCTCAGCTGTTAGAGCTCGTTGTTGTAACACCAAGAACACCATGAAGTGTTCAGATCTCTGTACTGGCCAGCCACAAAAAACAAAAGAAAGAAGATTATCTGTCACCTCATACTTACTAATCAATATGGTTTAATTTGGGGGTCTTTATTTTACTTTATTTTTGCTACTTCAAAAGATAGTT